CTCAATATCCTGATGAGCTCAACAGGTACTGGCTTTTCAATAATAGAAAACAATTCACAATACAGCCATTTGCTTGCATACATTTTTAACCATCGCAAATGAAGAGAAAATAATATGTACTTCTGTGAACCATTACCAAAGAAGGGTTTGTAAACTGCGCTGTATTCACAATCTTTCAGACTTGCACTGTAGGCCATGGCAGAGTTGTATATACCACTTTGGCGGATGAAGATGTGATTTTATTCCTCTTAATTGACAGCTAAATTTCCATTTCAGCTCTTGGCCTAATACAGTAAAAAGCAGACTCAATGGCGAGAACTACCATGACACCTGTTAACTGTCAGCCTGAATACTTTTTAATGGATGCTTTGTATGCCCATTAGAGAGAAAGAGTTGGGTGGTGGGGTGGAGCTCGGGGAAGAGATGGTGGATAAACCTGAAATATCTAATTAGCTGTCTGTTATACGTCTCAAGACTTGACATCAACGCAAGAGCTGGCAATTTGTTCATCAGTTTTACAGCAGTGTGCAAGTTGAACAGACACCCACCTCCCACCAAGTCCTTAAGGTACCATAATGTCAATTGCAAGATGTTGCTTTCATCTTACAGAGCCACCATTGTAGACTTTCTCATGAAAGACAGTACCAGGTAAAGGTGTCGCTGTTGCTTCCTTGCTCTCTGTCAAAGCTCTTGGTTGATGGATAAATACGCTGAATTTCACACCTTGGTTATCTGCAGCACGAACAAACCCACTGTTCGCTGTCATTGTGATCGCCTTCAAAGCATCTCCAGTGCCAAAGATAGCAATAGAGCGACTGTTAATTTTTGCACTGGCTTCCAACCTGGACGCTCGCTCTGAAGGCTGGTCTGGTACGACGGTGATTTCCTGCAGCAGCTTCTGCGCCCTGGCCTTTTCTCCAGGACCTCCCAGTGTCTCTAAAATGGCTTGAAAATCTTTCACAGCCGATTCACACGCAAACAACTCCTTGTCCTTCATGAAGGCCTGCAGCTTAGGCAGGACACTCTCCTCCCTCTCATGCGAAGCTTGCTCTGTCAATACTTTCTCCTTGAAGATGAAGTAGCAGCCGCCATGACTTACTGCCGATACAAAGGAGATCAGGGTGGTTATGTCTAAATTGACACGGCTGCAAAACTCCACTTTAACCTCGGCTGGAAAGGCAATGCTGGCAACAATTGTAGATCGGTCTACTTTCGTCACTCGCAGGGGCTCCTCCAGTTCTTCGTCGGAGTCAGCTGAATTATCAGCCTCCTCCATGAAATCAGTCATCGAGTTCACAGCCACGATATCTCCCCGTACTGAAAGCCCCATTTCTTTCAGTCTCTCTGCCATAGGGCTGGAGACGCCGTTATAAAAGGCAAACACAACGTGTGGATTAATGTACTGCACCAGCTGCTGCCTGCTGGCTTCCAAATAATCTTCTGCCTGCTCAACAATACTTTTGTCTCCGTACTGGCCTCTGCCGACCCAAATGCTGTGCAGAGCCTCGGCTTTTCGGCCGACGGCTTTGACCCAAGTGAGGCCACCGTTTGCAACGACATCCACCACAATCGACTGCCTTTCACCGGGCCGCTCCTGATAGCTGAAAACATGCAGCAGGCTCACCACGTCGTCCAGGCTCTCTGCCGACTCGATAACCGCTTTCAGGTGGGTCAGGTTCGTGCTCTGCAGGTGTGACTCCTTCACCGAAACCTTGCCCGCTTCAACTTTGCGCAAGAACTTTAGCTCAGCCTTCAGCTTGCTGCAGAGCTTGGGACCACCCTGAACCCCGCCCAGACGGGAGTGGGACAGCGTCTCCGCTCTGTCCAGCAGCTGCCGGGCTTCAGTGATCCTCTCGGACAGTATCTTCTGTAGGGACATTGCATCCCTGAAAAAGACAAACACCTACATTTATACCCAGGGTTGTTACAGGTGGAGGCAGCACGGAAATGGGGATTCGGGGAATGGGAAAGGAGTTTGAGGCTCGTTGTGGGATTCTGGTAAGGGGCATCTGCATACACACCAGTGAGCCAGGTCAAAGGGCTCACAGAGTAGACCAGTCACAGGCTGGCAGCCATGCACTACTCAAATTGCTGGCAACTCAGGCCCATTCTATTCCAAGTGACAGGCTGCAGTAGAGCACAGAGGAAGTGCTGTATTGCTGGAAGTGGCACGTAGAGTTAAAGAGAGGTCTGTCTGCCGCCCCCATGCAGATGTAAACAATCACATCACTTTTCACACAGGACCAGGGGGTGTAGTCCTGGCAGCATGGCCAATAGTTAATCTGTAATTAACACTGATCTCACTGCTGTTTCTGGGACACATTATGTTATATATTAGTGGCATCACCTCAAAGAGTTGTTGTTGGTTGTTAAATAACTTTGGATGTCTGCTATAGAACTGACAGCACATCCCCTTCTTTCTGCCAATTTGCGACCCAGCTTTACCCCTCTGAATAGCCTTCCAGAATCTATATCCAATCTCTATCGCCCTCT